AGAAAAGAAAAGAAAAGAAAAGAAAAGAAAAGAAAAGAAAAGAAAAGAAAAAAGAAGTTAGATGAGTATAAAATGCAAAGAGAAAGTAATAAATGTAATGGATGATACATCAGGTTATGGTGCCCAATTCAAGAAGTATTTCAACAGTACTCTCAGACATAAGATTTGATTTTTGGGTGCTGCTGTGTGGAGCCAGGAGTTGAACTAGGTGATTCTTGTATGTCCCTTGCAATTCAGGATATTCCATAATTTGTTATAGCATTTACTGCAACATATACCCTGAGTTCCAAGTCTAGAGGAGAAGTTTTGAAGTGGTGCAAATCAAGAATTCTGCTGCGGAAAATTAATCGCTCATTCTGAATAACTTTTGTGTATAAAATCCATTCTGTACAGCTGTAATGACTGCATAAGTGAGACTCTTTCTTGTTTCATTTTGTTAGGAGGCAAAGTATCAGAATTGTTTAGTATAAGTCAGTAGCTTTAACAAAATACAATTTTTTCCCTAGGGTATGAAAGTAGACTGATCATCAGTATAGCAGCTCATTTATTGAGAATGATAACAAAAAATGTGACTCATAGCAGAGGTTAAACAATTATTCATCCTCTATTCCAACAAATGAGTAAAATGGATATTTGCCAATATCAATTTTATAGCATGAGGAAGTAGGAAGTCTACAGAGTAAAGCAGGAATGATCATTCAAAATGCTAGAAGCAGCTAATTGATGAGGACCCCACAACATACTTCCAAGCAGGATGAAGTGTTGTAAAAAAGCTATACAAGCTTCCACTGATTCAATGAGATCTACAAGGACTAGAAAACAGCAAGAATAAATCTATTATTTAATAAAGGGAATGAAGGGGATTTCTTTTCTTTTCTTTTCTTTTCTTTTCTTTTCTTTTCTTTTCTTTTCTTTTCTTTTCTTTTTTTTTTTTCCAAGTTGCAGTTTACCAAAGGTTGTACAAATAGTTCAAAGTGTTTGAAAGAATATGCCCATTTGCTCATCATTTTTAATAAAGAAAATTGATTGCTTTTTTGAATCTGTGAACTCATCTTTTAGGTGACAGTGAAACACCAGTTTCCAGACAACTACACAGTACTGCTGATCTACCCAAAAATAAGAAAGGCATGGAGTTCAACAAAATAAAATCATTAGTATTACAAGCATATTACATAGAAATATCTTCCCAATATATATTTTTTTGAAGTTATTCTCCTAAAAGGCTGACATAAATGTTGAAGTCTGACATTAAAATATTCACATTACTAATACAGTGAACTGTTTGTAATATGAGGTCATAATCAAGGACAGAGGTTGCCAAGGGAGGTGGTCTTGTGGGAGCAATCTGTCTCAACTGCCTACAGCATTTATTTTAGAATGGAATGAATCACTTTCTGGAGAAGTATGTAAGACTAGTGAATACAGAGGCAGAGAGGACCTTACATGACTAATCTAGATTATTTGCCTAATTTTTAAGCAATTGTACATTCAAAGTACAAAGTCATCACTAGACATCTACCCAAATATGTATTATAACTCAAAAAAAAATTGTTTTGTTTTGAAGAAATGAGATGGCAATGCACTTTGCCATTTCTTTACAGGAAGTCATCTTAGTTACTGCAAAACTTTTGTATTTCTAGAGCTCTATAATGGTGGTTCTGTAGTTGTCCAGTGCATAATACTGATCAATATACTTTTACCAAAGAGCAGGTAATAAACGTCTGAGATGAATGGGGGAAATAAGAGGTAGTACACCTAAAAAAAGCCACACATGAAATATGACATAATAGTTAAAAGGGATTTGATCTTCTATTTTAATAAGTATCATTTACATGTTTTCAAAGATAAAAGAAGACAAATGTGTAAGTTAATAATATGTTATATAGAACAAACCAAGCATTTGGGCATGCACTTCCTGTGGGGGAAGATGTAACTGTGAGAAAGTCACCAAAGAGCTTATCAAACTCTTTGGAAGACTTTATCACTATGAAACCTTGGGAGACTGGAGTGTAAGACAGAGAGCAAACGGCATCTGTTTGTGTCTAAGGGTAAACAGGAGGTTCTTCTGTGTGCGTTGTTAATCTTGTCACAGGTCTCCAAGGTGCCTCTGGCATGTTGGACCAATGTAGGTAAGGGAAGTTGGCAAGCCAGATCCGTAATTTCGGGATAAGGTTTGGCTTTCATCCTTTATCACTGTTGTTTGGGAGAAGCTAGGGCCAATTAACTGATTAGAGGAACTGTTAGAGGGACAGGAACTTCTTGTTTGTAAGTGAATGGTGTATAACATATATGTTGAACACAATAAAGTAGAACTATTCTGATGCTTCAAGACACTGTGAGAGCTCCCTAACTTGACTGAGCACTGACAACTTTCTAGGTCTGAAGCAGAAGAAGCAGACTTGAAAGTCCGGACGCTATCTCCAAGCAATTGGAAGACAAGGAGGTTATCAGGAGTAGTCAAAGTAGATTCACCGAGGGGAAATCATGCTTGACCAACCTGGTAGCCTTCTATGATGTCATCAGTGGCTGGGTAGATGGGGGGAAAGCAGTAGATGTTGTGTACCTTGACTTCAGCAAGACATTTTAGACTGTCTCCTACAACATCCTTGTTATGAAACTCACATTTTCTAAGATAGGTGAGTGGATGGTGAGATGGATTGAGAATTGGATGACTGACAAAGTTCAGAAGGTTGTCATTAGTAGTACAGAGTCTGGCTGTAGGCCACTAGCAGTGTTCCCCATGGGTTGGTGCTGGGTCTGATCTTGTTCAACATCTTCATCAATGACCTGGATGAAGGCATAGAGTCGACCCTCAGCAAGTTTGTTGATGATACATAGCTGAGAAGAGTGGCTGACACACCTGAAGGCTGTGCTACCATTCAGTGAGACCTGGACAGGCTGGAGAGTTGGGCAGAGAGGAAGCTGATGAGGTTTAACAAGAGCAAGAGTCTTGCACCTGGAGAGGAATAGCAGCATGCATCAGTACAGGTTAGGGGATGACCTACTGGAGAAAAGCTCTACCGAGAAAGACCTGGGGATCCCGGTAAACAACAGGTTGTCCATGAGCCAGCAGTGTGACTTTGTGGCCAAGAAAGCCACTGGTATCTTGGGATCCATTAAGAAGAGCATGGCCAGCAGGTCAAGGGAGGTTATCCTGCCCCCTCTACTCTGCCCAGGTGAGTCCACATTTGGACTATTGCATTCAATTCTGGACAGAATTCTGGACAGTTCAAAAAAGACTCCTAGAAGGTGGGCCACGAATATAATTAAGGGCCAGAGTATCTTCCATATGAGAAAAGGCTGAATAACCTGTGTCTGTCCAGCCTTGGGAAAAGAAGACTGAGAGGGGATCTGATAAATGTTTATACACATTTGAAGAGGGGTGGGAAGAAAATGGATGAAGCCAGGCACTTCTTGCTGGAGTGTAGTGATAGAACAAGGAGTAATGGCCTAAAACTTGAACAGAGGAAGCTGCATGCTAACTTGCAGAAGAACTTCTTTACAGTAAGGGTAATGGACTATTGGAACAGGTTGCCCAGAGAGGTTGTGGGATCTCCTTCTATGGAGATATTCAAGACTTCTCTGAACACCTGCCTGTGTGACCTACTGTAGAGTACCTGCTTTAGCAGGAGGGTTAGACTTAATGATTGTAGAATCATAGAATCATGATCTCTTGAGATCCAACAACTTCCAACATCTGTAATTCTGTGATTCTGTGATTCCATGATACCAAGTCTACATGATGATCTACTAATAAATTTATGAGTCCTAACCTAAAATCTAACCATCACCAAACCTCAGAATATCCAGATATTCTAGATTCTGCACTGAAATTATAATGGTATTTTTTAAAAACTATTATAGTTCATACAATTATTTCATAAATTTCATAAAATTAATAAATACTCAGACACAAAATTAAATTCTCTGTATCTTGTTCATACAGTTCAATTTGGTGGTGAATGGAGTTAAATCCATCTGGCTATTTAACTATGGAGTTAAATCCAATGCTGTTTTCTAGGGGTTGATACTGGTGCCTGTCTTGTTCAATGTCTTTATTGATGACCTGGATGAGGGGATTGAGTGCATTCTCAGTAAGTTTGCAGATGACACCATGATGGGAGGAAGTGTCAATCTGCCTGGAGATAGGAAGGCCCTACAGAGGGATCTGGACAGGCTGGATAGATGGGCTGAGGCCAATGAGATGAAGTTCAACAAGACTGTACTTTCAGTTCAAAAGTCCTGTACTTTGGCCACAGCATCTCCAAGTAACACTACAGGCTGAGCGGCTGGAAGACTGTGTGGAAGAAACATACATGCGAGCTGTTGCTTGACATTCATCTCAAGCAAAGCCAGCACTGTGTCCAGATGGCCAAGAAGGCCAATGGCATCTTGGCTTGTATCAGAAATAGTGTTGCCATCAGGAGCAGGGAGGTGGTTGTCCCCCTGTACTCAGCTCTGGTGAGGCTGTGCATCAACTATTGTGTTCAGTTTTGGGCTAAAGAGACACTGAGGCCCTGGAGTGTGTCCAGAGAAGGGCAACAAAGTTGTTAAGGGATCTGGAACACAAGTCTTATGAGGAATGGCTGAGGGAATTGGGAGAACTGAAGATTCAGGGGAGATCTTATCGCTCTCCAGAACTACCTGAAAGGAGGTTGTGGTGAGGTTGGGGAAATATTGGTCGTGGGTGGGTGGTTAGACTGGATTATCTTGGAGGTCTTTTCCAACCTTGGCAATTCTACAATTCTGTAATTCTAATTCAGGCTGTTTTTTTTACTGGGCTTTGTACTAAAAAAACCTAATTCTTAAATTTCTTTCTTCCATGTGACTTATTTTAAAACCACTTGTAACTGTTTTCATTTCGTATTATCATGCCTAAACTAAACTTGCTAATCATCTCAGTGATGCTTCATGAATGGACACAGATGCAATACATGCTTTAATTTATGAGTCCGAGAGATACTGAGATTCTTATACTATTGTGTGATTAGGCAATCCAAGCAGCTGCTCCATCCTGCAAATATGTATGCTGTCAGAATCTTCTGTCAGAATTGCTGGGAGATAGCACAGTTTAGCTGAGTTGAATGTTTGGAGCTGTCTTGGAAATGCTGAAGCACTGTTTGGATCACCTTTCTGCCTTCTTTTTATTATTATTATTTTTTTCATTTCAAATTTTCCTCTGCCTCAAATGTGGTTGTTTAACTGCTACAGTATTTCCTTTTCTCTCACAGTCTCTACCACTATTTTTTTTTTCCTGCAGCATACTCTATCTCTGTATCTGTGCTCTGTCATATCTGTAGTGGTCACTCTCACTTCACCTCCTTCTTTTTCCCTCTTCTGTTAGGCCTCTCAGTACTAAGTGTGATTCTTCTCCTTGGACCACATGCCAATCCTAACATGAATTTTGAATAGTGGAGAACCAGGATGTGAAGGCACCCCTCATGCTTAGCCCCTGCTTTCCCACATACTGTGAAAAGCAGCAGATCAGAGGATTATATTCTATATGACTCCTGATTCTCCTTTCATCATCCGGGAAAGATCATCTCCTGCAACTGGTGGAAAGTACTAGAATATTTTGATATCCAAAGGGTTTGGGATGGAAAAGTTCTGACAAAAGTCAGTTATCTCACATCCTATAAATAGCAATTCTAAGTGAGACCCTTTGAGCTCTTCTGGATCATAGTGGCCTTTGACAATCATCTCTTCTATGTTACTGATCTCTTTGTAGGTGTTGTAGTTTCCACAGAAATAAATAGGAGACATTATTTTCAGAGTGACCTTTGTGAATATCTTGCATCTTGACCGAGGGCATATGCAATGGTAGTTAACCACTTTATAGAACACTGATCACAAGCCTCTATTCTAAACAGTGAAGTTAGGCTCAGTCATTCCCTTCTTTTTCTTACTGCATGGCACAGAAGTAGATTTCAAAAGAAAAGAACTATCTTCAAGCAAACAAAAGATAATAATAATTCAGAATAATTATAAGCTCTATTTTAGAACTTTATTAAACCAAATACTGATTTTCTTAACTTGCTTTGAGTAGATATTTTTAGAAGGTGGAGGAGTATAATCTTCATTTATCTTTGAAATCATTTTACAGTGCTTAAGTTTCTCTCTGCAGCTATGAAGACTGTGTCTTGACAGTGACATATCACTTTGTTTGTAAAATCAATCAACAATGTAGATGATGTTTAGAGATTATATCTAACTACTGCCCCAAATTCATAATGGAAAATAAGATAAGAAGCTTAAAAAATGGCAGTAGTATTTCAAATTTCAATATAAATAGTCCAAGAAACAGCATTTACCCCTTCTTGACAAGATATCATCAACACAAATCTTATTTCAGATTTCTTCTCCTGTGTAATCAATACACATTGCAGAACAATTATACTAGCTTACCCTCCAGAAAATCTTCATAAATATTCTTCAAACGCCTCTTGCACAAATTGCCCCATCTGTAGCGTGCATCTATTTGCTTCAATTTAATTTACTTATGTTGGTTGCTTACTGTTTCTTAGCAGAATTTATGGTCACCAGAACTCAGTAGCTATGTTTCCTCCACTCGTTGTGCTCAGGTTCTTTTGTGTTGTTGTTTTTTCAGGGTTCATGAAATCCTTTTGTTTTTTCCATGTTCCACCATAAAATCTGCTGTCAAGGTTGCAAGCCTAGCACTGCAACTTCTGCTTACACTAGTTCAACTTCTCCTTTCATTCCTAGCAACATAACAACTCTTCCATGGACCTAGGATTTGTTACTTCTCTACTTCAAAGAATTTTAGAGGCTGGAAATGACCTCTAGAGATTATCTACTCCAACCCCCCTGCAAAGCAGGCTCCCTAAACCAGGATGCAAAGGTAGGCGTCCAGGTAGGTCTTGAACCTATCCAGAGAAGGAGGCTCCTCAGTCTCTCTTGGCAGCCTGTTTCAGTGCTCCATCACCCTTACTGTGAAGAAGTTTTTATGCACATTTGTGTGGAAATTCCTAGGCTTCATTTTATGGCTGTTTCCCCCTCACTGCACACCTCTGAAAAGAATCTGGCCTTGTCCCTTTGCCTCCCACACCATAGATATTTATAGATATCGATCAGATCCCCTCTAAATCTTCTTTTCTCAAGGCTGAACCAAACCAGATCACTCAGCCTTTCCTCATCATAGAGGTGCTCCAAGCCCTTTATTATCTTTTTGTCCCTCTGCTACATTCTTGGAGATTCCGGTCTTTTTTTGTACCAGGGAGCCCAAAAATTGACACAATATACCAAGTGAGGCCTCATCAGGGCAAAGTAGAGGGGGAGGATCACCTCCCTTGACCTGCTGGCCATGCTTTTTTTAGTGCACCCCAGAATGCCATTGGCCTTGGCCACAAGGGCACACTGCTGGCTCATGGCTGAACTGCTGTCCACCAGGACACCCAGGTCCCTCTTTGCAGAGCTCCTCTCCAGTAGGTCATCCCCCAACTTTTACTGGCGCATGCAGTTATTCCTCCCTAGGAAGGGGAGATTCTACACTTGCATTTGTTGAACCTCATCTGGTTCCTCTCTGCCCAACTCTCAACCCTGTTCAGGTCTCACTGAATGGCAGCACAGCCTTCTGGTGCGTCAGCCGTTCCTCCCAGCTTTGTATCATCAGCAAACTTGCTGAGAGTGGAAATCTGAAAGTATTCAAATCCCATTCTTCTCTGGAGATAAAACATTGCAGCTGGCTTGTATGACATGGGTAATGTGCTTTTACATCCCATGTGATTATTTTCCTCTCAAATAGAGCAGTGCTTAAGAGCAACACACAATTCCTCTTAATAGCTCTTTTTAAAAGGACTGAGAGAACAGCAATATGATTCCTCTCTTAAACCACAGGGCTAAAATCACACCGCCCAAATATTTTAATTTGGGTGTGGAAAGAGGACAAAACAATTTGGTTGCACATAATACTTCAGTAGGACTGAGAGCAAAGATATACATGAGTTGATGATGTAACAAGTTATTGAGGTTGGTCATTTCATAAATGATGATCTACGTGTATCACAGCAATATTTGGCCATGGTGAGGATGACAATATGTGGCACTCAGATATATTAGCTATCCTCAAGGAGAGTCAAGAGCATGGCACTTTAGTTATTTTTAAATGAAGAAACATGCTACGACACTAGGGTAGACTGTAAGTTATTTCTAATCATCAGGTTATCAATTTTCCTAGTTTTTGTGTTCAGCCTGCTAGTTTTATGTTTTCATTGCCTTCCTTTTTTTTTTTTTTTTTTTTTTTTAATGTATTAATGAAAAATATATTTAAAAAGGTTTTGTTATTTATATACATTAACTATATTATATATTATATGCATCCCAAGACAATTTCTGTTCACTCAGTGTGGCCCAGGCAATCCTGCAATACTGACTAGCTTCAAGTCATAAGTGATGCATTAAGTGTATCCAAAGGCGGGAGAAAATAGCTGCCTTTTTTCTTTTCTGGTCAATTCCCTGTGACAAGTATCTTAAAAGTTTTGGCAGGTTAAAACAAGTAATAGTGAGACCCAATTTGAATGACAGAGATCCTCAAGTAGTTCATGTATCACGACTGATATCTTGGCACATATTTGTGCATGTAGGGGTGATAAATTAAAGAAATTAAAAATATATCATTAAAATAAAATATTAAAATATTAAATATATAATAAAATAAATAATTTCTTTTTTTTTTATGTTCCAAAATTTTTTTATCTAATCATTTTATATCACCTCTGTGAGAAGTCACACACAGACAAAATTCTGAGTGTAAATTATAAACCTCTTCAAAACAATGTTTAGCAAATAATGGCCAACTAAATATTTACTGATGAGTAAAACAGGTAAAAAAATAATATGTTAAAACAGCTCTTCAATATTAGATTATGAAGTGATTACAAGTGTTTCAAATCTATAGTTGATGACAATTTTTTTCCAATGGAAAACGTTTTATAAATATGTTACTGTAAAATTTCAGACTGATGTGATTAACTATTCATTTTCCAGCAATCAAATAATATATGTTATTTTGATGTAATAAAGGATCTCACAATTCTAATATAATGTAAAGCTTTAACAAGATGAATCTTTTTATATTGAAACCTAAATAATTTTGAGTTTTCTAAATCAGATTTTGATCCAAATTCCAAGTGATTATTAATTAGAAATCATATTTGTTAATTTTTTTTTCTAGCAAATGGAGAGGATTTATCCACATGGTCTATTATCTTGCAAAGAACATCTGTATCATAACTTTGAAATGCCTTTTGTGCTATAATAACTTTGTCTCCTGAAGTCTGAATTATTTCCAAAGACTGTGAAGAAAACTTGCTATGAAAATAAATATCAATCAGATAGGAAAAATTCTTGTACTTCCATCCTGAATGCATATATGAAAGAAAAATATAAGTGCATCAAAATGAATCTTTTTGAATATTGTAACAAAGCTTCTGTTTTTCAACCTGTCTAAGGAGAAAATATTTTAGCACAAATCTTCCTGGGCTGTTCTTACATTGAGAGGAACACTGCCAGGAAATTGAAGATGATCCTTGTCCTCTTCTAAACACTGGTGAAACAAATATACAGTGGCCAATCCAGTTCTATTTCCATTTACACAGGAAAGACATGGACATATTCAAGCACGTCCAGTGAAGGGTCATGAAGATGATTAAGGTTCTGGGACATCTGGCATATAAACTGAGACTGAGAGAGCCTGAACTATTTAGCCTCAAGGTGAAAAAGTTGTGAGGTATTGATAGAATCATATTCATATACATAAGTATCTGATAGAAGGGAGTAAAGAAGACAAAGCCAGACTTCTGAGTGAAGTGTGTACAAACTGAAAAGCAGAGAATTTCCTTTAAAGACAGGGACAGGCTTTTTAACTGTAAGGGTAATCAAGTACTCCAATTGGTTCTCCAGAGAGGTTGTAGAGTCTTTGGAGTTTTTCATAGATTACCCAGTTCTAAGCAGAGGGGTTGAATTAGTCTCCAGAGATGCATTTCAGCCTCAGCTACTCCTTGACTCTGTGGGGTTTTAAATTGAAAATAATATAGAAAACTTGTTTTCAAGCTATTTTGGTATAGACACTTTTTAGTTCATCTCTTGTGATGGATTATGAGTATTTTTATTACTAATACTCTTTGAAGCACACAGTTTTATGTGTACACTTTGACAGAACATGGTACAGAGCTTTGGCAGAGGGATGGTTAAAAGAAAGAAAGAAAAAGAATTGCAGCCATTATCATAAGGCATAAATCATACTGAGGAAAAGATGAGGGAGAAATACATTCCAGAGAATATAGTTCAGTACCCATATGTTATTCACGTAAACATATTTGTGTATTGAGATATTGGGAATCAAGTATGGCAGAAAAAAAGCCCTGAGTACATGCTATAAAAAAATATATATATATTCAAAGAAAAGTGGTTTCATACTGGATCAGACCAATAAAGTAGAAAAAAGAGCAAACATTCGGTGGCATTCTGAGGTTTTTAAAGACATAATTTAAAAACAACATAAAATGATTCAAGTGATTTAATACAAGAAGCAGAGTTGACATTACATTTGCTTATACTATTGCCTAATTTGTGATATAACTTCATAGAATCATAGAACACTTGGAGTTGAGAGGGACCTTTAAAGGTCATATAGTTCAACTCACCTGCAATGAACAGGGTCATGCACAGCTATAACTGGTTGCCCAGGGCCTTATCTAGCCTTGCCTTGAAAGCCTCCAGGGACAGGCCTTCCAACACCTCTTGGCAACCTGTTCCAGTGCTTCACTACCATCACTGCAAAGGACTTTTTCCTTATATCTAACCCAAATCTACCCTCTTTAAGATCGAAGCCATTTCCCCTTGTTCTATCACCACATCCCTGATAAAAAGTCTGTCTCCTTCTTTCCTGTAACTCCTCTTTCGATACTGAAAGGCTGCTGTCAGGTGACCTTGCAGCCTTCTCTTCTCCAGGCTGAACACCTGAGCTCTCTCATCCTGTCCTCATTGCAGAGGTGTTTCATCCCTTGGATCATTTTTGTGGCCCTCCTCTGGATGCACACCATCAGGTCTGTGTCTCTCCTGTACTGAACAGTCCACATCTGGACGTAGTACCCCAGGTGAGGCCTCACCAGAGCAGAGCAGGCAGGATCACCTCCCTCAACCTGCTGGCCATGCTTCTTTTGATGCAGCCCAGGATACAGTTGGCTTTCTGGGCCAGGAACACATACTGCTGGCTCACATACAGCTTCCCATCCACCAGTACTCCCAAGTCTTTTTCAGCAGGGCTGCACTGAATCCTTTCATTTCCCAGCTTGTATTGGTAGTGAGAGTTGCCTTGACCCAGATGCAGGAATTTGCATTTGGATTTGTTGAATCTCATGAGGTTCTCCTAGGCCGACTGCTCAGGCCTGTCAAGGTCCCTCTGGATGGCATCCCATCACTCTAGTATGTCAACTACATTGCACAGCTTGGCGTCATCAGCAAACTTGCTTGACTCCCACACTGACCCCACTGTCAATTGATTAAGTTATTAAAGAGTATTGATCCCAGCCCTGACCCCTGTGGGTGACTGCTTGTCACTGATGTCTATCCAGACATTGAGCCATTGACCACCACTCAGTGGACTCAATCCTGCAGCCAGTTCTTCATCCACTGAACAGTCTACCCATCAAATCCATATCTTTCCTATCTGAAGAGAAGGATGTAGTGGGGTACCCTGTCAAATGCTTTACTGAAGTCAAGATAGATGACATCAGTGACTCTTCCCTTGTCCATTGATGCAGTGACACCATCATAAAATGCCACTGGGTATGTCAAGCAGGATTTGCCCTTGGCAAAGCCATACTGGCTCTATTGTATCACCTCCCTGTCTTCCATGTGCCAAGATGATCTGCTCCATGATCTTTCCCAACACAGAGGTGAGGCCAATAGGTCAGTAGTTCCTGGGGTCATCCTTTTCACACTTCTTCAAAATGGTTGTGATGTTGCCTTTTTTCTAGTCACCAGGGACTTTACCTGATTGCCACAGCTTTTCAAGTATTATTGAGAGTGGCTTACCAACCACATCAGCTAATTCCCTCAGGACTCTGGGATACATCTCATCAGAATCCATAGACTAGTGGATATGAGGTTTCTTGGGTGGTCACAAACTTCATCAGCACTTGTAGTGGGAGGGATGTTCCTTTCCCAGTCCCCTCCCAACCAAACCAAACATTTGAGGTCTGTGGAAGGAATATTTGTCTGAGAAGATCGAGGCAAAAATCTTGTGGAGTACTTCAGCCTTTTCCTTATCTATTGTTACCAGCTTGCCTGTGTCACTCACTAGGGAGGAGTTTGCCCCCTAGGATTTTCCTTTTCTAGTTGAGGGACCTATAGAAACCTTTCTTGTTCTTGGCATCCCCTGCCAAGCTTAGTTCAAGCTGGGCCTTGGCTTTCCTGACCCCATCCCTACACAGTCCAGCAGTCTTCATAATCCTTTAATTTTCCAATATTCCTTGAAAGATCATGTGGAAGTTGCAGTTATCTTAAAGTCGGGTCTTCTTGATGTTAGTATTTGTTCTTCAAGGCACATTTCAATGTCAAGTCTACCGATACATCTCACGTGGGCAAATATTCATGCATATTTTCTGTTCCTTCCTACCAAAACTGTGGTGGGTTTTAAAGCCAGAGTAAGGGAGAAGTGAACGATAGTGTGAATACAATATATTCAACATATTTCTAGGAATAATATTTACAGTACACACAGTTCATAAATTCTGTATTTAGTAATTGTAAACATGTTTTCCACTTCCACAGCTAAGGTTTGCATGTATTTATTTATGATAGAACAAAATTTATGATTTCATTTCCACTCCATAGAGTATGAAATGAAAAGTTGAGACTCAGAATGGCTCTAGAAATCATTAAAAAAAGTTAAGATTGTTTTCAGTAGTTATGAAAAATCCTGTTCAATAATAAATGCATAAGCACGTGCATCCGTTATTGTGCATACAAGTAACCACTAGACAACTGAGAAAAAAAAAAAAAAAAAGAGAAATTTTAGGTAAGTTCTTGCTACTTAATTGCCTTTTTTAAAACTGTATGAAAATTGAACATAGTCTAAGAATAAACGTCTCCATATTCCATATTCTAAATATTCCATATTCTAAATATCATGTTTGTGATCAACAATATTCTTTTAGCTAACAAGTGTGATCACATTAATTTTAAAAAGACATTTATTCTCAGAGGACCTGACAAAAAATAGTAAATGCCTCTTGAAATTCTAACCATTTAGTGATTATACAGAGAACTAACTGCTGTTGAAAAAGAGGAAAAATGAAGAAGAGGATATATTATAACTTTGGCATTTCTATGGTCACTTTATTTCCATGCCCTAATTTAAAGTATTTAAATCTGTCTGGTTAGAAGTCTTGGACAAGCAATAGTATTGAAAAGTTTGTTAGGATTTCCTTTCAAGCTACTCAAGGGAGCTTGATAAAATAATACAAATGTATTTAGAAGCCTACTATGAGAATTCACAAACTTCATAGCAAGGTTTGTATTCTGGAAACCTTTTGGAAAAGTCTGGAAATCTATTTTCTGAAATATATTCTCAGAGTAGACAGGATGAATACAAGTACACAGGTAGGGGCAGAACTGACTATCCATAAAATTATTTCAGGAAAGTTTAGAGGAATAGTAAGATTGAATATGCAATACTTTTGGTCATAGACATTATCACTGTCAAAAATATGAGACAACTCAGGAACAACTCTCTTGCAACCTTATAACTGCAGCTGTATCTACGGTAGAATCTAGGATTGCCTCCTGAGAGCCTTTCTTATCTAGTAGGTCTTTGTCAGCAAAACAGGATTGAGGAGAAAGAAGCGACAGATGCTTTAACAGGCATAGCACAACTTCAGCACTTGGAAATTCTTGAAAATTGTGGAATGGAATGAAAATAAAATGTTTGAGATTGCAATCAGAATTAATACCAGGATAAATTAATGGGCAGTACTAATGAGCAGACAGTCCAGAACAGTAAAAGAAAAGCTGAATTCACTAACAGTAGTACTGAAGCAAAAACTGGGAACTCAGAAACTTGTTTCTGATGGAGGAATAACAAAGGTTCTTGGTATCTCTGAGATGGTCAGGAAAGTACCAAGATGAAACTACGTGACTCCACTACCTGACAAGGAGGCAGCAGTCAAGAACACCTCTTTCTTTGCGCAGTCAGCAGTCTCCTGAATTGTCTACTCACACAGTTCAACTCATGAGATAAATTATGTCATTTACCACTGTGAGATTCTTTTCTCAGAGTTCGTAAACTGGATGATTTAAAGCTCTTACAGCGTTTATGATTTTATGGAAACAGAAAAGAATTCTTTCTACAGCTTGTAAGAGGAAGTCTAAAGTGCACAAAGGTTCAAGCTCTGAGGACTTAAGCAGAGATGAAGATATCAGTAAAACTCTTCAGGAGACATCCCTTCAAGGTCCTTTTGAGCATGATCTGCTATTCCCATTGCTGCACTCTATTATAACAGCAATGAGCCAAGTAGGCATAGTGATCTCACAGAAGGAAAAAATCTTGTAATCAAGAGACATTTACATTTTCACCTGTGGCTAAAAACTTAGTTTCAAACAGGTAAAAGGCCATATGGCAACCCTCCCTCTCTCAAAATTTAAATTTATCTGAGTCCGTTTATTTGTTTGTTTATCGCAGTGTAATATTACAGAATGAAAGACAATAATTGGCAGTGCTGAAAATAAATGTCTGTGGGTTGCTACGGATGTTAGCTGAGAGCACTGATAAGGAACTGAAGAGGAGTTACGAAAGCTTTGTTGTCTAAATATTCAGCTGACAAAGAGACTTGAGACAAACATTCATGTCCTAAA